GCTTACTTTGGGGCTGCAGCCAGTGCCTCCATAATCTAATAGGAGATCAGAAAAAAATATTGGTACTTTACCTATTATTTGGAAAGTTTCATCTTGGCAAAGTCATCTATGAGCATATTTCATTTCTTGCACGATGCAAAAGTAGCAGTCCTGGCCCTGCCAAACTGAGGTTCCCTCAAAGCAGCAATACCTACTTAAGGACACGTTTTCAACAGCTTGACTAACTTATGGAAATCATTGCAAGGAAGAAGAAGCGCTGAGGATTCACAGTTAATTGCAATACTCACTGGGCACGAAGTCTTCTGATCTTGCTTAATGGGTTACTTTTTAAAATGGTTTTAGTAGAGTTGTTTACATGACTTTAGAAATTCACAAGGTTTCTGGCTCATTATGGCTGAAATACGAGAGTATGTACATACTTTGTATGCTACCACTACATAAGGGTTATTGCTATGAATTTGGCCCCTTCTGGACTGAACAGTTACATGAATAAATCTGTAACCTTTGTATCAGCTAAGTTCCATTAGTACTTTTATGTTAAGACACACATTCTATATGAACAGAAGATATGGTTTTGCCCCACTCACTCACCAGAGCAGATGATGAATGAAGAGACTGTAGCCCCAAACCAGCAAACCCTTACCCACACACTTAACTTTACTCAGACAGACTGCTCAGGTGAGCAAAGAAGTGCGTGTGAGAGTGTTTACAGTATCAACGCTCATGTTGGAAAGTTGAGGTTACTCCAATACAAAAAGTCCATTATTCCCACAACATAGTAAATAGTTTCATTGCTTTTATGTGACTTGTGCAGTCCTCATAAAAGGTGGTTTTTCTTTCCCAACATCAATCTTCATTACTATGGAGGCAATTTTACAATTGTTTGAACAAGTGAGTCTGTCCACTCTGTAAAAAACATTTCTGAATGTTTTCTGTTTGAAGAGCACTTTAATGGTTTTGTTTAATGGTGGTGGAAGAAAAATAGGATGGGCATCTCGTGGAGTTTTAATAGCCTTCTAACTACAAACTTGTAAGGGAGAGAACTTCTGGATCTATGGTCCTGGGACACCATAGGACCTCCGCATGGATCTAAGGGGATTACAAGGGAATGGGGGGGGGCTCACACTGCTATTTTTGCACAGGAATGTGCAATGCACTGGAGCGATATGGAGGAAGCTCTGAGGATTTTCCATGGAAGAGGAGGATCCTGCCTATTGTATTTCATTAATACTGCAGCCCCTAGTGACAATAAAAATGACAGATTAATCTAATATACATATGTACAAAGGTCACTCTCCTCTGTAAAGAATGCAACACAGGCAAAGTGTGATCTAAGAACGCATATGTCTGAGGAGTCAGATTATACACAAACAGTCTGAGATTTGCTTCCATGTTTAGTGACCTGGCATCAGACTCTTTTATGGCTCAAGAGCTCATAGATACCCTCTCTCTGGGCTATTGCTTTAATACAGACAGATAAAATATGCAATTTTGCCTGCAACTCAGGTTCTGATTAGTTACTCTGATCCTGGGCCAAATCCTGCAGCTCTCTGAAGCCCATAAAGTTTAGCCTGAGTTTGGTTTGCAGTAGGATTGCAAGTTTTGGCTCAATGACTCCAAATGGTGCACAGTAGTGTAGAAATTACTGTGGCAATCACTTAACTATTTGATGTAGCTACTGCTTGTGAAGCACTGACCCATGCCCATAGAGAGGATGATCAGGCCCAATTACGGTACCAATAGAGTATATTCTAACCTCCTAATACCCAAAAAGCAGCAGGGAAATCTTTTTGTACCAATCAGTCCACTTCCAGGTTAACACTCCTGAATGCCTGTGGCCAAGGTAACATACAAATTAAACAGTAATAATGTAAACTTTAAATCGTTATAAAAGACAATGAATATTTTTCTACAACTATTTTCTGTTCCCCTTATTTTTTCCCTATCCTATCCTAATTATTTTCCTTAAGTAGTTTAAAAGTGATTTTCCTTCCCCTTGTTCCCAGTGCAACAAAGCTCTAATCACACACCTTGCAGAGAATTCTTTCAATGGGAGTAGAATGGAAAGACAATTTAGCATCACTGTAGCATTAGAAAGGGAGGGGTACTCCTAAAGCATGATTTTAATCTATTAAATTTATTAGCTACTGACCAGGGAAAAAATTAGAGACAAGCTTTCATGCTACACAGAGCTCTATCTCTGTCTGTTTGACTCTCTCTTCCTCCAACAGATGTTGGTCCAATAAAAGATATTGCCTCTTTCATATCCTGGGACCAACATTGCTACAACACCACTGCGGACAAGGAAAATTATTGTCTATTCAGGAAGCCCATGCATGGAGTCTGCATCCCCTGCCAGTAAAATTCAGCAGGGGCGGGCCCTGTGTCCACATGTGAAGAGGATATTTGGAAGTGGGGAAGCCATTCCCTCCCTGCAGAAAAAAAGGCGGGGGTGCTTAGCGAGTCATGTCAGCACCGAGATGGCAGCAAGAGAATGACACCTCTCACATCGCCCCCATTGCTGCCATACCTGAGCCCCTGTGAGGCAGGGAAGCACAATCGTCCCGTCCCCGTTTTGCAGATGAGGCTCTGGGGCACAGGGCGGTGAAGTGCCTCACCCAAGATCACACAGAATTCATTACAGTGCAACAACTCCCAGATGTCGCTCACTTTTTCTGTTCTTCAAAAGTGAGAGACCCTCAGTGCTGATGAGCTGTCGTGGGGCTGTTCACCCCACACCACTTTGAAGGGATTAAGGTGGCTACTTAACCAAGTAAGCTGCACCTGAGAGGAGACCCGGGCTTGACTGACAAGCACTCATTGAATATGGAGTCCACCTAGGCAGGAGTGTGGGGGGGGCTTGTATAAAGCCAGGAAATGAGGGCAGAAGGTGCCGCAGTGTGGAGGTCTGCAGTCACTCTCTGGGAGCAGAGAGGTGGTGAGGAGGAAACCCAGGGGTGGAGCAGAAGCCCTGGGATCCTGCTCCTGACCCTGACCCCGAAGGAAGGGCTTACCCAGAGAACGAAGAAGAAAGCCTGTGGAAGGTGGAGTAGGAAACGGCAGCAGGGGATGGGGCTGTGCAGACCTTGGCTGCTGCTGATAGGGTTCCTGGCTGGAACCTGGAGTCTCACCCAGGTTCCCCTACCAGCCACTGGGAAAGTGACAGTCTGGAATGGGAAGACTGCCTGGAATGGCATCCAGACAGCTGGTCCAGTGAGACTTTGTTACCCCACAAGGAGAAAACGAGTGCCCTGAGCAGAGCACCAAGCAACAAAGAGGAAGCACGGCTACAATTAGAGAGCAAGAGGGGCTGCAGCGCAAGCGAAGGAAGGAAGGAAGGGGAGGTCAGACCAGGCAGAGCTACTCCACAGATGCAGCCACAAGGAGACACCCCAGCGGTGAGTGAACCCTGGTACAAGCCTGTTCCCTAAGGGTTTCAAAATATCCTAGGGCTGTTTCAATGTTACGTCCCTGCTCCATTAGGGAACAGGCTTGTTTAAAGTTGTGCAATGCTCCCTTATGATGTCGCTTGGCTGCCTGCTCGGTCTACTGCTTGTAGGATTCTCTGGAAGAGCAGCGCCTTTACAAGGGAGCATTGCACAACTTCCTCTTCTCTACCTCCTCCCCCTCCCTCCCAGAGCTTCCCGTGCCAACCAGCTGTTAGGACTTTCTGGGAGGGTGGGGGAGGAGCAGGGACACCGCGCTCAGGGGAAGGAGGCGGCGTGACGGGGAGCTTCGCTGCTGGTGGGTGCAGAGCACCTGTTAATTTTTCACGGTCAACCAGGACTGAACTCTGCCAGCATTCAGGAGGCTGGAGGGGAGGGGAGAAGAGTTTCACAAACATCATTGCTGCGTATAGTATTAAATTGTTTGTTTAAAACTTATACCTGTATTAAATTGCTTGTTTAAAATGGTTTAAAACGTATAGTGTTTATGTATATAATGCCTTTTATCTGGCAAAAAAAAATGTCCTTGGAACCTAACTCCCCATTTACATTAAATCTTATGGGAAAATTGGATTCGTTTAACATCGTTTTGCTTAAAGTCGCATTTTTCAGGAACATAACTACAACGCTAAGTGAGGAGTTACTGTACTGGATTTCAAGTCCTGCCTCAGCCACAGACTCCTTGTGTGATCTTGCTTCTGTTCTTTCCTTTTCCGCAGTTACAAGGTGCTGGACTGAGGGCCTGAGGGGCATTGGTGGAAAGAGAGATGTAGTTGCTGTAAAATGTAGTATAAGTGACAGCTGCAGGCTCCATCCCTATCCAGCTGGGACATGAGGCAACATGGGCTTAGAGGCGGCTAATCAGCTCCAGGTTCAGATGGGTGCTGAGATCCATGTTTCCTAGAAGGGAGTAGGTGCTGATCTTCAGAAGTATTTAGGTGCTTCAATGCCACTGATTTCAATGAGAGTTAGGGACCTAAAGACCATTGAGGATCTGGGCCTGGGTTTGTTGAGTTTGGGGAAGGAAAGGGAAAGGCTGGGATCCTTTGGACCCCAGATTTACTGTTTTGAGCCAAGTGTGGTGAGGCCTAAAACCATGATCAGGCACCAAAGCAACTGTAATGAAAAGAGTATGGGTACTTGATCTGTGATCCATTTCACAAATAGTGCACATGCAATATACACTGCAGTATATAGCATTGCTAAAAAGACACCACTGTTGCAGCTACCTGAACTGGGATAACCAAGTTAGATTTAAGTTGTGGCTTCCCCATCATTGGATGTGTTTAAGAACAGGTTGGACAAACCCCTATCAGGGATGGTCTAGCATGGTCCTGCCTCAGGGCAGGAGGCTGGACTTGATGACTCCTCAAGGTCCCTTCCAGCCCATTTCTATGATTCTAAGTGAAATGAAAAATTGAAGATATGGGTTCTCTGACTATTCTCCAAAATGGCAAAATGTATTATAAAATCTCTCCCCGTGAGTGTCTGGGAGCAGAGGGGGGGAAAGTATTGCTTCAAGCATTAAAAACATCACCTACCTCAACAGTCATAAACAGTTTACTAGCTGTTTATTTTTAATGCAGCTAGTGGAAACCTAAAAAGGCTGCTATACACTTTCCCTAAAAATAGTGTGAAAACACTTAGATTTGGCAAATTCAGTCAGGCACTTGTTCAGAAGGTTCTTCACATATGATGCTTCACAGTGTGTATGCCATGGTTTCCAAGGAAAGAGAAGGCCGCTGTATACCATGGTCTATGATAGATTATAGTATGTTGTGAGAGGAATCATCATTTTGTTCTCTTAGGAGTGAGCAGAATTTGATGATAGTCCATGAAAGAGCAAAGTTATCTGGATGGTTGTTTATGTTCCTCTGAATTTCTTTTGGAAAGAGACTCAAGACCTTCCTATGAAGATGCAGACTGCTCGGTTTTGTATTTCTGGTAGGCATCTAGTATTTCTGCGACGATGCTTGGATCATCCAGCGTGGTGACATCTCCCAAATCACTGGATTGGTCAGCAACAATTTTCTTCAGCACCCTTCTCATAATTTTCCCGGATCGCGTTTTAGGAAGGCGTTTCACTACCTGAAGAGAAGGACAAATACACTTGCCTTAGAACTTTGATCCTGATGAAACTGTTTGAGTGAACCCAGCCTTGAAATGATCCCACTGCATATCCCCAGTGAGATTCCTGGGAACTGTTTAAGAGCAAGGCATGGTGGTCACAGTCCAGGAAGAAGGAATATGGTGATGTTTATTTTTTTATTAGTTTTTAACTGATTTTTCTCCTTTCTTTTTCCAGTTTGGGCCCAATGGGAGATGCTAGGTGCTCAGCACTTTTGAAAATCAGGCTATTTATTCAGGTGCTAAACTACAGAATTAGAAGCCTACCCATAGGCACCTGTGTCTAGAAATCTTGGCCTCAGCACTCTCATAAATCTCAGCGTGGCTTACAAAAGCGGGTAGGTATCATCATCCCTATTTATAGATGTGGAATCTAATGCCCGGAACAGTTAAGCCACCTGCTCAGGGTCACATAATACTGTAAGTCAGTGGCAGAGCCAGAAATACATCTCAGGTCTCCTAATTCCCAGTCCCAGGTCCTATCCACTGTAGTCCGCTACCTCCTATGTACAGGCAAGGGTTAATGTTAACTGATAAGGTCATAGGGAAGGCCATAGCAATGGACCTGAAGAGTTACTATTTGTCTACACTGGCAATTGAACGACAAAACTTTTGTCTTTCAGAGGTGTTAAAAAAAAAATATCCCCAAAGACAAAAGTTTTGCCGGTGACAAGTGCCAGGGTGAACAGCGCTTTGTTGGCAGGGAGCAAACGCCGCTCTTTGGGGGTGGAAGTTTTAGGTCAGCAAGAGGGCCGACAAACAGCGGCTACACTGCGTGACTTTTAGTGGCACAGCCATGTCGCTAAAAGCTGTGTAGTGTAGACCTAGCCTTTGTCTGGCTTCTGTAGGATAGCTCCTTTGCACAGACAGGCCACGCAACCTGCCATACGACTGCTCTGTTTTTGGATATATATGCCGAAAACAGGCCAGTGGTAAGAAAACTGAAGAGCATTAACTGCTAATCTGTAGGGAAAGGGAGCAGTATGATCAGCCATGGACTTTACTCTGGGACTATCTGGGAATCCTGGGAACACCTGATGGCTCTGGGAGTAAGTCTTTCAATGCCTGGGTGAGATGAGCATCAGTTGATGGTGCAAAGTATGCGTTACTTCATCTTGGGTTGTACTACAACCGTAGCTTTACTCTTGTATGTTCCAACCTTTCCCTTAAATTTTGATTTTTTAAAACACGGGGATATTCCATATACCTCTGTATTCCCATCAGTGCACACCTCATTCTGATGAACTGTACTGTGGGTCTAGCAGACACAGAGGCATATGAATGCAGCTGGGATGCTGTATTAAGATGGAGGCAGAAAATATCAGACATTTTAAGCAACTCGGCTGTTTGTACATGCTTTAAACAGGAGGGGCCGGATCCCCCCTTTGCCAGAACTCTGCTTAATGTGGTTTGGAGGCGGAAGTAGAAAAGCTGGTTTCTTTGTGCGCTCCAAATTCCTAGGGTTGGTTCAGTCCTTGGCATAAGTAGAACAGCCTCAGGGCTACTCTAAATTGTACACCGCTGCAGTAGCCCCCCAGGAGGATGCTTTGCAACCAAGGATTCCCAGGTGCACTAGCACTCCAGCCATCCTCCTTTTCCTGCAGCCATGCCTTTGGTATACTCCGGACACCAGAGCCTGGAGGAGTGGCTTAGGGCTGCTATGCCAGTTCTGCACTACAGAGGAATTCCTCATCTATCTGGTGAACCTGGCTTTAAGGCTGCTCTGCCAGGGAGGAACAAAACAGTGTTACTGGGGGCAGGATCAAGCCTGTTAAGTGGGTTACAGACAAGATGTCTTGCAATGGTAGCCCCCAGACACCTACCAGAACGTGATCAGGCACAGCATACTTTGCAATCTTGGAAGCAACTATAGATCTGAGCTCTTCTTTAACACGTTCTGTATGAGCTGTGTCTTCTTTTAACACTATGAAAGCAAAGGCACCTGGAAGGGAAGTAAACAGAGGGCGTGTACTGTACATTAAATCATTGTTGGGAAAGGCATTCATTTCAGTTGGACTGCGTGCATAGGTGCTGTTTCAAATGCCTGTAGCAACTGTCGGGGTTAGGGTCTACCTTGCTCATTCTGAGTAATACCTCACACTGCAGGTGCTTCCAAGAATACCAGCAGCTTATTTACACAGTAGTGGTGAGTAAGGATGGCAGAATCAGGTCCTTAACGATTAATGTGCCTTGTTCTGGAGTCCCTGG